AACCATTTCAAATAACTAGACTGACAATCAGAGCACTCTAAAGAGCAATAAATTGTTTATTGTTTTTTCCATCAAGTTTACCCACATAAATCATATCTATTTATTCTGATTCTCTAATTAAAATATTTATGGGTCATTTAGCTTGGATATAGAAAATTCATATTTTTCTCAAGCATCCAATAATAATATGGGAATGCGATATAAGATATTCTAATTCTTCACACAGACACACTTGGAAGAATTTATCTTATCTACTTAACCATTCCTTACATCTAGGATAGTCAATGACTTTCTAGAGGCAGAGTCCTCTTCCACTTTTCCAGAACCATCAACAATAGTGGTGAGGGTCTTGCCCAACAACACTTTCTCCTTCAATACGCGTCAATGTATGATTGAGCTTAGCTCGTTTATCACACACATATCTTGAAGCGGTCTATCCAACAACCATTCTTCAGAGTTACCATTAAGGCTAACCTCTGTCATCACCTCAGTGAATATTATTACCAAATTCTCTTCTTTAGTCAAGTTAACACTAGGTTAAACTTGTTCTTACACTTTCGTGTCTTATGACCTAGTTTCTCACGAATTTAACAGAGAAACATAACGTCATTCTTAGAGGATTGGGTGACAATCTTATGGTTACCACGATAGGTACCATTCTAATTGGTGTGGATCTGGTTCAGCTTGCTGCTCTCATTCTTGAAACTTTAATGTTTCACAGCAATCTAAATGGTTCGTGTAGTACTGATAATAGTACTTCTTATAATATCGTTATTATGGGCAATAAACCCATTCTATTCCCATATATTCTTCACATATATGTATGCATTTAAACAAAATTACTCTATTCCATAACATGCATTTAAATTTATGCTCTAATAATTGAGAAAAGCACATCTCAATGTCAACATTATCATGAATAGATTCTCGTTTTTCTAGCATTCTCTCGATTGCATGCATATATGGAATAAATTATACTTTTCCATTCATTAATAACTTATGAAAAAGTTTTCAGTACTTACCTCTTTTCCGATAAGTCATTGTCTTGGCTCTTTAAGCTACTAAGCTCAAGTTCTTCCCTCTCGTTTGAAGTATAAACCGTTCCATTCCAGTTCTTACCTCCTTTGTGGAGGGCCTGCAAAATTCAATACAATTGCTTTTGTTCTAGAGACTTGGAGAAAAGAAATTAACCTGACCGAGGCCTTCTTCCATTTACTTGCCCCAGCCCATTCATTCGCCCAAACTGTTCACAGCAGAAAAAATAAGTTGGGCCCGTCCCAAATTAATATATAATGGCAAACGGACTTGAGTCCGTCCCAAATTGCCTCCGCCCTCCAGCTGTTCCCCTTTTTTTTCTTTTCTTTGGACTCCATCTGCTCCATGGGAACCTAGACCATAAGCTAATCAACTTCAACCATGGATCAGCCGGATAAACGACAAAAGGCGCAGAGGAGAAGAAATTAAATAAATAAGAGTGAGAAGTATTTGACTTCCTGTGAAACTCGAACCAGTTCTCCCCTCGTGCAATTTTGTGAGACTTCCTGCTGCTAACTCTGTATCACTGGGCGGATCTCCTCCATCCTTACCCTCGGCCTCGTTTTCTCTCCCAGGGTCATTATTTGACTCCACTCAAGGCTCTCGGCCCTCAGCTAAATAGTCAACAAATCATAATTTAAATCACACATCATGAAAGCTAAACAAGGGGAAAACATAATCAACAGAACCATGGATTCCCCATCACGCGCTACAAGATCCTTATACCGCAGCCGCACCAATTTGGCTTCCGATTGATGGTAATAATCGGGTCCCTACTCCCTATGCTGCAACTAAAACTCAAGCCTTCGGCCAGCAAGAGTTTCCCACCGCTGAGGGATAAAGCTAATTATGATTAGGGAACAAAATGGCTTCCTGCTCCTTTTGTCACTTCACGATTACCGCCACCAATAATATAAACAATAAAAGAATTAGAAACAATTGATTAATAAAGAGGTGATTCAACGCAATGGGAAACTCTTTCGACGGGGTTGTCTCGGATCTGCTGTATCGATCCCGAATCATGACCGCCATCGACATATTGCAATTGCTTCATCGTGGACAAAAGGCAATCGAAACGTTCGAGCCAGAATCGGCATCCTGTTCGATACATATAACAGTAGCCAAACGTCTTAAAATTGTTAGAAACCGAACAGAAAATTAGGGTTACCGATCTGGCTGAGTCGCGGACTAGGTCGCTCTCTTTAAGACGTTCGCGGCACTGCCTTCGATGCGCACGGCAGACTATCAGCCGGTCGCCTCCAGGATAAAACAGCCACTCTTATTTATTGCTCATCGGTTTTGTGCGAAAACCGGAGCTCTATGAATTCACTCTCTATTTCGTGTTTCTGCTCTCTGAGGTGTATTTAGAGGGTCTGGGGCGTCTCCTATTTATAGGAGCAGAAACCCAGAATATTCCCTCTTTCTTTGGGAATAAGTCATATTTTAATTAGGGAGATAATTACTCCCATAATTAAAATATATTACATTAAGATAATTAATTCTAATTATCTCCATGATATTCTTTTTATTAATTATCCTTCTATTTTTGTATATAGAAAATACTGGATAATTAATTCAATATAGCTTTCAAAGCTATTCATTCCCAACATCACTTTCTTTTTCATGCTGCCATTATTGTGCTCTTCTGCACTTTCTTGATGTTTTTGTATTTAAGTTGTTCTGTTATAATTTTGTTGTTGTTGCGGTTATGTTGGTCGCACTTCCTCCCCAACTGTCTTTCCCTCATGCCAACTCGAAGCTTCTGATAGTTGTCTCTCATTAGTAAAAGCCTCAAATTTTGTTTGTACAGGACAACATAGATGCACAAAGCACCTACTGGCCAACTACAACCCGACATAAATGCTCAATGAGGTGGGCATAGACCAAGGAAAGGTTTTGAAAGAAATGGAGGTGAGATATTCGGTTAGAAGCCTCAAATTTGGGGAGGCAGACGGTGAAAGGCAGCAATTGGTCTTGATTGTGTGTAGTAATTATGGATGATTAGTTAATTATACTAATTCTTTGATGTTGTTGTAGTTATGAATTAATTTTAGACTCACAGGCACCATTTGATGATTGATATAATAATTCACAACCTCCTAATCATTCTCAACTCTCATATGATATTTTGATTTGGCACATCAATTTTACAACTTTGGTTATTATTTGTTTTGTTGTCGTTAATATACCCTTTCTCCGTCGTACATGTTCACATGTGCAGTCCCAACTATTATAACAAATGAAAAGATGTCAGAATTTTAGAGTAAAGGTAGGAAGGAAAGGATAAATATGATAGGGAGCACCTTTTTTCTTTTAAGTTGCAGTATAAATATTAAATAGTATACGCGTGACGACGTTTGCCTATCTTTTTGGTAATTTAAGAGTTCAGAATCTGATCCAATAATTTTCCCTTTCTGATGAAGCCTGCTCCAATTTTTCCACAATAATAGCAAGTGTTTCATTGAAAGAGAAACGGGGATAAGTAATGTACAAGGGAGCAAAGATGTATACTAAATGCTGAAGTCTAATGCATAGTAGACTAGATTTATACGAGTTTTATGATAGAAGGAATTTAATGTGTTCATATTTATGATTTGTAAATAAATTCAATTCACAGGAAATGGGAGAATTGAATTCATCTTGCTTGATTGGAATGTCGAAATAGTCCTGCGGCTCTGTTGGTGTGGTTAGTCGGACGACGAATTGAGCGAATCAAGTGGCGGATTTAGACGCGCGAATAGAGGAGCTCAGCCGCCATAGCAAAACAATTTTGGCGAAATTGTCCGCATTCTGCAACCGGAGTGAGGCTCAGGAGCAGCGATAACCGGGAGCAGATGCCCACTCATAGTGAGTTCCACCACCTGCTCGACGAAATGTCGAGCTGAAAAGGATCCACAGCGATGATTCCTTCTCCTACCGAACCTGCAATTCACAGTCACACTTCGGTTAATTCTACCTCTGCCTTGCCTCTGGATATTTTGTTCCTCAATGGTGAGAAACCTACAGAATGGATTAGGCTTTTTGAGAACCGGTTTATCTTCAATGTCATTTCGGAGCATGAGAAAGTTGAGACGGCGGCCGTTCACTTCGGGCGTAGGCCAGATGTTTAGTTCGAGAAATGGAGTTCTCGACATCCCGTCCTGGTTTGGAATGAATTTGCGACTGCCCTGGGCCAGCGTTTAGGGAATTTTGGATGGTACAAAGATCATGTGAACCAACCGACTGGAGGTTTAGTTGAGAGTCCAACGGAAATCAATTAGGAAAGTACCGTGGCCAAAATTGAAGTGATGGAGCATTTGATGGCTGTAGATGCTGATGTGGGTTGTAGAGACCCAAAATATCATTTTCTTTAGTTAACTAGACTTGTTGATGGTGAAGTGATTAATGGGTTTGTTCAGCATTATTCTCTTTCCATGAGCTGTTGGAAAGTTTTGGTAGAATCAGATAAATAGTGCACGAGCACGAGTGTGGGAATAGTGAGGGCTTTTTAGAGTATTTCTAGGATGCAGATGGCTCTGAATCTGATCCATCGTCCACTATGGCTTGGCTTGGGGTCGTTTGCTTGTTGGATTTGAAAAATGAGGGTTTTGGCTCAAAAAAACCTTTGGATTTATGAGGGATTTGTACCATCTATCGATTTGAAGAGTCTATGGTTTGCATGATAGATTTGATGATATAATTATGACGGATTTGCTATAAATATAACTAGCCATCAAGGATTTACAAATTCCACACCAATATGTGGGATTTACAAGTCCGTGGGGTCCACGGATTTGGATCCAAAAAGGGAACAAATTCGTGGACCCCACGGATTTAACACCCGACAACAAACAATGGACTTGGCTAAAATCCATCATGCTTGGGATTTGAGTCCCAAATCCATGACCGAAATCCATCAAGCAAACGACCCCTAAGGGTAACTCTTACCTAGTTTAAAATATAAAAGCTGGGTACGCTTTATTGGCGCAATTTTTGTGTCACTGTTTCAATCTCTGTCGTTTAGGGAAGGAACGGGTCTTCAGCCTCCTCACAGCCAGCTCTCGGCGAAATTCTTTTTAGTTTCAGTCTCCCGAATCGGCTACGCCTTGCCTCTGTCGAATCAACTGGACATGCTTTCCGTACAACTATGAGGCTATGAACTATCTTAGCCAGTCCCATCCACCGTAAGGAGCTTCCCCTGGATAGCTTCCATTACTGTTTGCTTTAAGCTTTCACTCCCTAAGCAGTAAACAGCTTACCCATCCATGGCTGTCGTACCCCACCCATGGCTTCACCTTTCAACCTAAAAATCCGGAAGCCCACTTCTTTTTCCATCATCTCACCACTCCGATTTGCTTCTTGAGGATGTAAGATCCTAAGAAATGCTCTCGCACGCCACCGCCCATGTTCTCTGTAGTCCTCATCTCACTCTTTTGGTTTGAGAGAGCGCTTCTCTTCTCTGACTCGCCCATTTCAGTTACAGCTGCAGCTCATACTAGATTCATAGATGCTACAAATCCCCGTCGTCAGAAGAAGAAGAAGAAGACGAAGAAGAATAAAGAGATGAGAAGGAAGACGAGAAAGGAAAAATCAATCTCTCTCTAACCTGGATCTAGTTTCGATTCATCCCCATCTATTTCTCAACGCGATTAACTCAACCAAAGGAGAGGCTTCAGCCCGCCGGTTTTCCTCACCTACTCACCCTCTCTCTCTCTCTCTCTCTCTCTCTCTCTCTCTCTCTCTCTCTCTCTCTCTCTCTCTCTCTCTCTCTCTCTCTCTCTCTCTCTCTCTTTGCGTTCTGAATTTCAGGATTTTGGTCCATTTGGAATCTGTATTTGATCGATTCTTCGGTTTATGTCGAGCCTCTTATCCAGCTCAGCAAGAAATTGCAAGAAGGCTAAATAGGGTGTGAAAGAAGATGCAGGCGCACGTAATCAACAAGATTGGGTATTCCATTTTTTTAAAAGCTTTCACCTTTTCGTTGTTCATCCGAATGCAATGGTTCCATGTTGGGTTATTAAATTCTTCCATGTGTTATGGCAAAGCTTGACTTGCCTCGGTGAGAAATATTGGCCAGAATCAAGCCATCAAGATGCATTATAATTTAAACTTCAATTTTGTTGTTAAACCTTTCAATTCTTTCCATCGTCGACTGTTACAGCCGGAGTTCTTTGAATTATTTGATGGGGTTCCACTTTTGAGTTGCTAAGTTGCTTCTATATCCTTTCTTAATATTACCCACCATCTGCTGAGCATCCCAACATCACAGAACATGCATGTGTTCGTTTTAATCTATATTCCCTTGAGTCCATTTGTAACTGACAATATTTTGATGATTATTGTAGTGTGGGACTTAGTGCAAAGCTTTCAGCAGGAACTCAAACTCTTTTCATTGGAAAAATGTCAGTGGTTAGAAACAAATGGGAAATCAAGCACACCCTAGGAATGCGTTCCAGTCCCAGCCTCAAGCTATGCAGATTCCACTTGCTGGCAATTGAGAAGGAACAACCTAAACTACTTGGTAAATCTCGTTTCAGAAGAGAGAACTTGAAGGCCATTTTCCACCGAAAGTTAGATCTCCTCCTCCTCCAGAAACTAACTTCACTTGCCAATCAGAACCTGTTCTTAGGTGGAATTGACACTGTTGATGTTTTCAAGTTTCGGCAACTCCATCATTTCGTCTGAATGTCATCATTCTACCTCTCGATAGTAGAATATTACTTCTGTACAATGGTATGTTGACCTCCTGTTATCATTTTAAAATTTGGATAACAAACTAGATGATAGTACTACAATTGGCAATGAATTGTTATCGTTATTTAGAGTCACTTTTCTTTCATATGAATCAAAGAACCGTATGTGTATGTTAGTCCCCATTTTTCAATAGATTTTTTATCCCTTAATGATGAGGTGAGCCAAAGACCTCTTCAAATAGGCATGAGCTTTGGTTTTATTAGAGTATGCGTGTTGTCAAGCCAATGAATATACATGTTTATGTCTCTTAGTGCTCTTACTTTAACCAGAGCTATTTGTTAAATGTGCAATTGGATGTCACTGATAATATGTCCTTCCACGATCTGGAATGCTGCAGGTTTGTACTCTATTTGGCCAACAATGATGGAAGCTGTCTGTTGATCCCCGTCAACATCCATGGAGACTTGCAAGAGCAGCTGATTCAGTTTTATGCACTTCAACTTCACAATCTAATTCAGTTCTTTCACACTTGCAGAGCAATTGAAAATGACATCGAGTGCCTCAAATTGGTTTCTCCCGAGCAGCCCGCAAGAGGTCATAATGCTACATTTGAAGAAGAATAAGGATAAAACACTTATTGATCTCTCTTTCGGTATCACTCTTCCACTACAAACTACAAGAGGTATGGGCATGATTTTAATCATTGGTTAGGATTACTATCAGTTTTCTGTTCAATCATAACTAATGCTTCTTTTTGGGGTCCCTTCTTTATGCTCTCTTCCAATTCCATCCAGCTATGGCTCACCATGAATACATACATGTTATCTTCAAACTGTTGTTACTACTTGAAGGTTTTGACCGTAGTGCTAACTGTTCCATCTAATCTATAGGTTGGAAAAGGCAGAAATGTAGGTCTGTTCGCATGTTTCCGAAGCTCAAACTTGAAGAACAACGTTATCTTTTCGCAGAGGGTGAATTGAGCTATGGAGTGGGTGAGTTGCACAACCAAAGCATATTGGGGAGTTGTTCGAAAACCGCCCCTGGATGCAATGGGAGAATTCATTGCAAACAACTTTACAATCAGAGTATACGGCTACCAGAGATTTTGTAGTTGGAAACCAGTTCTGAGTTTTCCTTCTTCCACAAAATGGTCGTGGATTTTGGTCAATTATATTTAGTTCAATCGGCAGCTTGGGAAAGAAGCTAGGAAAATTGGATTGTTTCTCTTATGCCAAGGCTGTATGCTTTAATGCTACAAGAAACATGCACTAATGCTTACCTTCGCCACCATGGACGCACTTTAAACCCTGCCTGTCCCTTTATGATGTGTAGATTTTAAATATTCAGATGTAAACCATAACAAAGTTTACTCAAAATCTCAATTGCCGCCTTTGATGTTTTATGTACACTTTAGATACTACTGATACAACAATTATTATCTTTCATAAGACATGGAAAACGATTGATAAATCAATTTTGAGAAGGTATTTTTGCTTTCGCTTTCAGATTGTGGAGCTCATTGGCAATATGTAGGATCATAACGCTAATTAACTATGGAACTCAAGATGCAACACACTTACGGTACTCTGAAACCCATACAATTCCCAATGATAAAACAATCCCATTTCTTCGTCACCTAAACTACCCCACCATATGATCGTACTCCTTTAACTTTAGTTCCCGCGGCGTAACAGCGGGTATTGATTCTAGTATAGGAGTAAGTGCTACAAGAAACTGTTGTAGCATATCAAAGAAAAAATGGGCTAGGGGAGAGTAGAATGTGCAGGTCCAACGTGAGATGAACAGGTATTAACAATAACTGATCAAACTTCTGATATTAACCAATTTCGTCAAACTGATTAATGCAATCCAGTTAGAGTGGCTAAGCGAAATTCAAGTTAAGCCACAAGTCCATGTCCTTGACCTTGAATGGAAGTTGTTCTCTCATTTCATGCACACACCAAACGCTCAAATTTAAGCAAACAGCCAGCGGCTTTATGGACAGATGACCTATTCTTAGATACACAAACATCCTCCTATAATTGCAAACCAAAAGAAGAAGATTGACAGCACCGCTGCAGCCAGAGAGAAATTCTACAAAGAAAGTTCATTCTGACATCAAACATGCTATGTACTCTTAAAGGATGAAGCAGGCACCATGAGCATATCACGAAGAAAGAAAAATACCCATAAAGGCAAACGGTGTTGAGAGTGTGGGAAGAAGGCAACCCATATTGTGGCAGTGACTGTCCTGACTGGAGGGCTACTGGGTCTTGGAGCTGACACCACATCCTAAGGCACCAATAATGGAGTAAGGAACTTCACACACAAGTGTTCGGATAGACCTGATATTAACTTTTTAATGATATTTTTCTTCAAGATATGATATTAACTTTTTAGATCATTTTATGAATAAAAGTAAGAGAAACAAAGACATCTCTTAGATCCTCACGCTTTCAAAAAAAAAGGATTTATTTATTATGTAATTATTGATATATGGATTACTAATGACCTAACACATTAGATTCTCATTTGAGAGTTACATGTAACCCCTATTCCTGCAGTGCTCTGACTGTCAAAGTGAAGAAAAACGTTTCGACTAAAGGAACAAGGCCCTCTTGAGTCAATTGCCTAGAGGGACGTATCCTTCTCTAGAACAACTTATCAAGGCGTTCTGAACTAGACTCCCTCTATCGAATGAGATTCTCAATCGATACAAAGCAGTGAATCGACCCTCGACTAAAGAAATCGATCCAATACTATCAATCTATGGTGCTCTATTGACCTAATCAAGTATTCGCTCTCATAGGATCAAAGCCGAATCAATAATCTCGACTAAAGCAGAATTGAATCATGAAAATGTGCATAGATTGAATATGAACTCAAGTTTATCAAGTAGGAGTACTCATACAATCATCCAATCAAACAAACATAGCTTGGGTTCATCAAAACCTAAGTGAAGGGAAGTTACTCCATAGAGAAGAGAGATACTACAGTAATAATCTTCAGATGATCAGTCTTCAAGTCCGGGCTTGTTCCTTGAGCTTCCAAGGCGAAGAAATCCTCCAATTCCACTACAAGAATGCCCTTAAATTTCCCTCTCTCTCTCTCTCTCTCTCTGGTTCATCCCTTGGGTGTTTGGGATCCAAAACCCAGCTATCCCTTTGCAAAAACGCACAAAACAGGCTTTTAACAGCCTGCGTTCGCGATCCCCTGTCATAATCCCCGGTCGGGTATTTCGGGTGCCCGGCCGGGGATTTCGAAACGCAGCGCAGCGGTACAGGGGACAATACCCGATCGAGGTCAAGAATACCCGATCGGGTATTTTTGCTCTCTGGTCGGGCCACCTTCTGCCTTCTGGGCGTCCAAAACTGCTATTCCCCGGCCTCGCCTTGCATTTTACCCGGCCAGGTATTATTACTCATGGTCGGGTATTTTGCTCCTCCAGCACCCTTCTACTCCAACGTCCACCTTTTGACCCGAAACTCCTTTCCTCGCCTTCACGTTAACGCCAAGTCCTGAAATATGACATAAGCACACAACCTAGCGTGAAATCGGCTTAAAACCGGAGAATCGACTTTCAACCGGCTCAAGAATGGAGGTATAAACATGTGTAATTATTGGTCTATCAAATTCCCCCACACTTAACCGTTTGCTTGTCCCCAAGCAAACCTAACTCAAACCAATGCAGCTCTCCAGACCTCTATAGAAACAACAACCCCAATCGTCGGTAGAGGATTTCCTAGATCATATAGCAGCTTATGAGGTCAACTGGTCTTCTAAGAAGTTCCCTATCTCTCTCAATGCGAGTACTACTCAAGCCAGAATCATGAGAAGAAGTGGAAGTAAGACAGCCAGTTCATAGGTAAAGGGACTCAAACCATTCACAACCAATGACTCATTGTACCGAGGTGCTCTTTCACTTCATCTCACCATTGGAACCCCTTTTTCACTTTCATTTTTCAATTATTTTTTCACTTAGCGTGGGTTCCAACTGCAGTCTTTTGTACAGTCGACCCTTATTAGTCGAGCAAGAGCAATTTCTGTATATCTGGCACTCGCCAAAGTACTTCTTTTAACTCCTTTTCCTCAACTCGTGTGGAGGGTCAATGAAATTAAGGGGGGTCGAAAGCTCTATCCGTGCCCTTAAAAACACATCCTCGAGTAGGCAAACCGTTCAACGGGTGAAAATTTTACTTGTACTAGAGACAGCTTAGCTTCACCTTGTAGGAGTACCCCACTAAGGATCACTAAAATCTCTTCCAAAACCCGATTTTGTACAATGAACGGTGCCACACACACGTTGGGCTTACCCCATGTTTAAGATTTCAATGATTTCGACATGGAGTACCAACTGTTTTTCATTTCCCACATGAGCACCCTGTTCGATACACGAGTCCATAACACAATTCAAATGGAGTCACCACTACCACATGAATTCAACGGTCTTAGCTCCAATAATTCACAAAATTAACCGGCACAGCAGAGAGCTATATAGGAAAAATCTTATACTTCAACATCCTCCATAGTGCTACACTACCTCCCTAGGTTGCACATTACTATAGAGACTGTCAATTCAAAGCATATTGAGCAGACAATTTGCAAGGAACACGTACTTGGAGCCCTCAAATCGAAATTTGGACAGTGGACTAGGCTCCAAGCACACAAACATATCGAAGTAGTCAAAATAGAAACATCCCCCCACACTTAAGTTCGACATTTCCCTCAATGGAGAAGAGGGAAGGATAAGGGGAACGATGTTACCGGTGTGCACGGACTGCATGAGACTGGAAGGGGACCAGTCTGAGTGAAGAGGGCTGGAGAGGGGACCAGTCGGTGCAAAGGCACAGCTAAAGGGAACACAAAAACTCAGCCACAATACGTTAGGTCCAGTTGTCATCCCAATAGTAGATCATACAAAAGAAAATAAACCAAAACACAAGAAAGTTTGCACTCCGAATCAAACAAAAGCAACACAAGACGAGCAACGAGTACAACCTACTCGAGCCCGAGGAAGTCGATCTGATCCATGAGGTCGTCAACCCCATCTGTCGGCGGTGACGGGGATGGTGAGTGGTCCCATCAGGTGGACCAGTGGTGCTCCTAAGGCGGGTGGCAGGACTGGAGCGGTGCTCCTGGTACTCCATCATCCGGCGGCTACAATCCCGCTCCCGCTCGATGCGAGCACTAGTGACTCCCAGCTGAGTCTCCATCCTGCCAAGGCGCTCATCCACAACCGTCATTCATGACTGGTACTCGACCTGGTGGGCCGAATCCTGCTGGTAGAACTGGCCCTGATTGTC